CTCATGGCAAAGTCCATTTTTTGGAAGCGGGAACGAATTCCATCATATAACATCCATTAGTTAAAAATTCACTGCCCTAGAATGACGTCACTTTGTATGTCGCCAATTAGTACCACCACATGTGGCATGTGAGAAAGTTCCACATATGCATTCTAAAATTTGGATGAGATTTATAAGCCTTCATTTGCCAAATGCTAAACAAATATATAATTGTTAATTAACAGTAAAATCTTAAAGTCCTCGTAAGATTTAGAATCTTTATAAATAAGTTGAAATCTTATAAGTTATAAATATGTTTTAAATCTTTAAAAACACTAGAAAGTAACTTTGCTTTTGTACTACTTCGTACATCTATTGTTAATTTTAGGTTCTAGCCATATAAATAGATTGTGAAAGTTCGTTGGTCTAGTCTAGAGGAGTCATCGATACCTTTATTCTTACATCTTGTAATTTTTACCAAGAGAATACTTTTGGATGCGTATGCTTTATATAGTGATATTGATAAGCACTATATTTGCCAAGGCACTAAATCTCCAGTGGGGAGGAATGATGCGCCCACCCAATATCGAGACGCCACCTCGGCTGGTGGCCCACATACCTCAAGGTGTCTAGTGGAGCACCCTGATAAGACAATTGCACCGTCACGTGGTGCCACCACCTTACTGAAGTTTCTCTCTTGCCAAGGTGGATAACAAGCAGATATTAATGAACTCTAATGAGAATAAAGATTACTCTAATGAGAATAAAGATTAGGAGAGCGACTGCAAGTTAACTAATATTTCACACGTCACGTGACACAAGAAGTATAACAATCTTGAGGTGTTTTTGATTTCGTTATTTAGGTATTATAGAGTGAATTTTTTGGATAGTTGTTTGGAGGTTCCGGTCATATGATGCCTCATTTGTAGTGATTCGGTTTTAAAAATTAGACAGGAAAGTACTTTTCAATCAATAAGTCCTAGATGGTATAAAATTCTATTTAACCAATGTACCCAAACATGCAAAGTTCTAGTCGTAGTTTAAGATAATAACTTATCTAATAATCTAGTGACCCATTAACATGCTCGACATCTTTGATAGGATAACTTAGACAACGCTGAACAATTTTAAAAAACCAAGCATGAATTACGGGAGTTTAGTCCGGTAATTGGGGGAGAAAAATACAGTAAACTAAGCGCGAATTACGAGTGCCTTGGTTACCATTTTTACAAATCTTGAACTTTCTCTTTCTAATGGTAGCATCCAGCTCAATTTCATGGTCGGGTTAAAGAAAAGTAGAATAATTTTTCGAGTCCATTATTTCAATAGTAGTGCACGACCTATTCGGCTACTCCTTGGATAAGGGACCACAAAAGCATAAGAAAATATCATAAACACACGTCCATCACCCAATCTAGAGAAAGATAGCAATGCTATTAAAGACAACCAACATTTATAAGACGGCCCCGATAGCAGTTGGGGACTTTAAGAAACTGATGCTAAGCTTTGTTATGTCGTTTTCTATTGTAACAGTGATGGGCTGGATACCATGTTACAAAGACGATTTTCCGTAAAATTTAACTAATTTGTGTTGCTTTCTTCCTGCTTTTTAAGTACATGTTTTAGGCCTAAAGGCGACGATCTCGCAAACTCGAGTACTACGTTGTTTTCTTTTAGGGATTTTTTTTTTGTTTTTTTTACAAGGGTGAACCCGTAGCCACTACCTCTCAGGTGCACGTTGGGTAAATCATTGGGTTGACACAATAGCCTGCAAATCACGCCAGTCAGATAAACTGTACTAGGCAATCCCAGTGCAACAGGCTCGATCGAGAAAGTGTTGATAGCGAGAATCGAACTCATGACCAAAGATTTTGGCGCTCACCTACTCCACCAACTCGACCACCGCATCAAGAGCTTCTTTTAGGGAAAATTTTGCATATGCATTTGGAGGTTTTCCCATCTTGAAATAACATTATAGAGGGTGTTTGACACCATTTTTTTTTGGAAAAATAAATTTTAGAATAGTAAATTGATGGAGAATATGTAGATGAAAAATAAGGAAAATTTTTTTATTTACGTGTAATATTATTTTAATGAAGAATGTGTTGTTAAAAAGAAGAGATAAAAATACATTTTGATAAAAATGGGAATCAAACTATCAATGATTTCTATTGGAAGAAAATTGCTAGCATTTTTGTTTCAAACTATATATTTCAATTTTTCATTCAAATTCAGAAACTATTTTGACAACTTTATTAAAACTTTTAGGAAATAGAATTTCATCAAAGAGAATTCAAATTCAGAATCAATAATCAATTGAAGAAAAATTACTTATTACAATTTTTGATTAGCAACATACTAAAATAGAAAGGATTTGTAAAAGAAACATGTTGGATAAAGTATTGACAATTAATGATGTTTAACCTAACACATTCTAATGATTATGCATCTATACAAGCAAACATAAAAGTATCACATTCAAACTACAAATCAAGATAGCAGATATCTTCTGGTTTCACCTTTTATTGTTTTACTAACAAGTGGTTGATTCTATCATACTTGCTAAGTTCATACATTTCATTTATACTATTGAAAATTATCGTTTATTTTTCCTAATTATGAAACCAATATACAACCATTCAACTATTGTTGTAATAATTTTAACAATATAATGCGTTTGTTTGATAAATATTTTTTTGAGTAGTAGTTCTTTGAGGAGTATTTTTTCGTGTAATTAAAAAATATTAAAAAAAATTATGGAATAAACATGAAAAATCATTTTTGTAGGGAAGGAGTGATTAAAATGAATGTGCAGAGACAAAGTCAGGGGAGAACAGTTTTTTTTTTTTTTTTTTTTAGCAATGTACTAATACATGAAAGACATGAAAAAAGGGCTTCGACTGCCTTGGACTAAAGTCCAAGGACTATCGAAGTGTAGGGTTAAGTAATTTTCAAATAATCAAAATCAAAGAAGGACTTAATGCAATTCATTGTAGTGGTGGCTTACGAGTAATTTGCTTGCTTTTATACTATACTAATGATATTACGTAGTGAAAAAAATTGAAATGAATTATCATGTCTAGACCCGAAACACAAGAATTACATACCAAGATAATTGACCTCATTTGGTATCCATTTTTTTCAAAATATATTTTTCTCTCTCCTCTTTTCAACCACATATTTTTTATTAAAATAAATTACACGTAAATCAAAAAAAATTTCTTATTTTTTAACCACACATTTTCCATCAATTTACTATTTTGAAATGCATTTTTTCAAGAAAATTGTTATCAAACACCCTATATTAACAATAATACTACTACCATAAACCCCTAATTGGTTCAGCTAAAAAACTAATTAAAAATTAAGTTAAAATAACAAATAATTTTAACCATAAATTTTATGAAATATACAACTTTTCAATTATATATTTTATTAATTTTATTAAAATAGAATAAAAATATGATTTTTTTTATCTAAATTAAATTAAATGGGCTAATTGTTTCCGACAATATATATTTGGAAGTTCTAAAACATCAACTACAACTGTGGAACAAAATGATGAAGAATTGAATTAAAATTCCAAAAGTCAATTATTTTTGCATCTTCCCCTCTCTTTTTCCACCACATGTCTGTTTTTTTTTTTTTTTTTTTTTTTCCATTAATTCCTTATTAATTAAATTCAACACCAGACGACAAAAGGTTTGCAAGCACACGACACGACACCGTTTCACCTCTCTTCTCCCATCCTCGTATCTAAGTTCTCGAAGTTGAAAACCCTCTTCCAGTGTTGTTCGATCTCCCCATTTTCCAAATTCACGCGCTCCTGAACTTCTTACTCGCTTTCACGGAAACCCTACTCTCTTTCTACATATATATACCATATACGTAGCACTGACATAGACGGACCCCAGTGGAGTTGGACCGGACAATGTGACCCGGGGATGAGCAGAACCGGGGAAGACGACGACGACGAAGAGGGCTTCCACGACTCCCTCGACCGCCTCCTGTCTTCCTCAAACACTTCCTGTTCCTGCTCCCGTTCCAGCTCGGAAGACGAGGATCCGAACTGCAATTACAGCCCCGAGCCAGTGCCCAGGTTCCCCATGGGCTTGTCTAATAAATACGATGTATGGATCACCCAACCGTCTTCGGTTGAGGAACGCCGCCTCCATCTCCTCCGACAAATGGGCCTCACTAAAGATCCCTCCCTCCTGCGCCACCGCCCCTCCTTGTCATCTTCCGGTTGTTCACCTGACTTATTTAACCGATCGGCCTCTTCGGATCACTTAAACACCAGTGAGAGCTCTTCCAATATTCATAATAATTCGTTGACCCTTAATAATATTAATAGTAATTATGATAGTGGTGGTAATACTAATGGGACATTATCCGGGATTGTAAGATCTAAATCGGACGGGGACAGTAATTCTTGCAAGAGTTTGGAGTTTTGCATAATCAATTCGAATTCCTCTTCACCAGGCAAGGAGGGGATTGTTGGAACTGGTTTCCCTGTAAAGACTGATAATCAGAACAACAGGCAAAGCCATTCTGATGTTGAGAAATCTAGAATTGGCAATGGATCACCAATGATCAGTGCCAAAACTAAGAATAAGCCGCCCAAAAGAGAGATTAGAGAAGATTCAACGTGCAATGGTAACTTTAGTAGTTCATTGACCATTCCAAGGAAAGGCGAGTCTGATGACGGTTTGGTGTGTAATAAGTCAAATACTGTCAATGGGGTGTGTACAATAAAAAATCTGGATAACGGGAAGGAGTTTGTGGTGAAGGAGGTGAGGGAAGATGGGATGTGGAAAAAGATCAAGGAAGTGGGGACGGGGCGGCACTTGACCATGGAAGAGTTCTCTTCTGAGATGTGTGTCGGGACTTCGCCTATTGTGCAGGAGTTGATGAGGAGGCAGAATGTAGAGGATGGGATCAATGATGGTTTGGATTCAAATGCAGATGGGAACTGTGAGACTGGATGTAAGTTAAAGAAAAGAGGGAATTGGTTGAAGAGTATAAAAAATATGGCAAGTTCTGTTACAGGGCAAAAGGAGAGGCGGAGTAGCGATGAGAGAGATACATCATCAGAGAAGGGTGGGAGGAGGTCGAGCTCTGCTACAGATGATAGTCAGGATGTTTCCTTTCATGTGCCTGAAAGAGTTCGGGTCAGGCAGTATGGGAAATCTGTTAAAGAGCTTACAGCGTTATACAAAAGCCAGGACATACAGGCTCACAGGGGGTCGATTTGGACAATTAAGTTTAGTTTGGATGGCAAGTATCTTGCTACGGCTGGAGAGGACTGCGTGATTCATGTGTGGGAGGTTATTGAATCAGAGAGGAAGGGAGATTTGTTGGTGGAGAAAATCGAAGATGGAAATTTCAATCTTCAGTTTTTGGCCAATGGATCACCAGAGCCCTCTTCAATGGCACCAAATTCGGACAGTTACTCAGAGAAAAAGAGACTAGGGAAGTCATCCATAAGCCGAAAATCAGTGAGCCTTGAACAGATTTTGGTGCCAGAGACAGTGTTTGCCCTCTTGGAGAAACCCATCTGTTCATTTCAAGGACATCTGAATGATGTACTGGACCTCTCGTGGTCCAAGTCTCAGGTTAGCTTGATCTTTGCCTTATTTTTCTATTGTTCTTCATATGGTATAATGATTTGAGAAATAATATGGAGTCTTCCTTGACCTCTGTTTGCAAGTTGAAAAATGAAATTACTTATGTGACAATTGAATCATGTATTAACTAAGATTGTCATATTCCTAGACCCTGATTGTGCGATTTAGACATTTTAGCCGAGTTTTTTCAGTCCATGTATAGAATACTGCCTTTGTGGGCATTCTCTCTGGTGGGTTGTCCACTAGATCACTGAACAAGAAGGTTGTATACAGGACCATAGTTCATTTTGGGCTTTTGAATTTTTTTTACTGTAACTTAATCAATATGTTCACCTTTTTAATGAATTAATAGAAAAGATAATGCAAGATGTGGATATTTGCTTTCCAATATGTTTAATTAGAATATTTATAATAGGGCAAAGAAATGGAATGTGATATTTAAATTAGTTGCAAGCTCGACGCGGCTTATTATGGCTATGTGTTGTGTTAATCTGGTTATTGTTAATGAAATAATAGAAGAGATAATGCAAGATGTGGATATTTGCTTTCCAATGTGTTTAATTAAAATATTTATAATAGGGCAAAGAAATAAAATGTGATATTTAAATTAATTGCAAGCTCGACACGGCTTATTATGGCTATGTGTTGTGTTAATCTGGTTATTGTTAATATAGAGCGAGAAAATGATTTTGTCGAAGCATCTTCATTAAGCTTTTTTTTGTTTGCTCAAAAAAATTTAAGACAATCCACCCCGATTTTTTTCATCTCTGTAGGTTTATTTAGCAGCTTTTAACCTCATGAGATTTGTTGATAGAATTGTTAGTGCTAGTGATGTGTAATATCCACACCTTTCATGTCTTTGAAAGGATTTTTTTGTTGTTGCGCTGTATAGAATTAACAAAGATTTGTATGTACTTACAGTTATCTATGATTCCTATTCTTATTAAACTTTAAGCTAGTTGGATACATAATATACTGTGTTGAACATTTTGGTTAAAAGTTTATAAAATTTTCTTTGAACAGTTTGGGATGCATCTCTGATTATTGGTTGTGAACAGCCAGAAATTTAAATATTGGCCCGAACACGAAATTTGATGTTTTAAAGTATTATCCTAAAGGCATGGGAAAAAGTAACTATTGTCTAAGAAACCTAGTATCTCAAAGAGTATTTAAGCAAGGCAAAGTCATATGTCAATGAAATACATTGTGTCTTAGCGGAGTGGGAAACATTTCTGACAGCATCAATAACCTTTTCCTAAAACTGGTTGGAAAAAGTTCCAGAAGCAAATAGAGAGAAAATGTAGTTTTAATTTCATAATCTGTTATTTCTATGGTGATTTTGCCTTATCTGCCTGGAGAAATTGAGGGATTTGATTTGGAGTGAAAAAATGGTTCTATGAATGGTTGTTGAAGACTATTTAATGATATACATTTGGCCCATCTAGATTAAGTAATGCAAAATGTTTTGGCTGGTCTTTTTCTGTGAAATGCATTTTCAGTTACCAGCTTTATCTTGCATGGTTGGTAAAGACATGAATGAGGCGCACCTTCAGTGACTCAAGGCTAGAGTTCAGTGCTATTTTATTGAGGCAGGTGCCTCACTGAACGAGGAGCGCCCTCAAAAAGCATGAGGCCTGCGCCTCATGTTTTCTATCACATTAAAATTTCTTGTTTTTCTAACTTTGACTTTTAGATGAAAGAGCCTTTTTAATTAGGCTCATCTTGTTATCAAAAAAAAAAAGAAAAAGAAAAAGGGCCAATCAGTTCTTTGGCTAAACAATAAAAATACCTACCCCGCTCCTCATCGCTTCCCCGAGAATCTTCTTCTACAAGATTGCAAGGAGGCAACCAGCGGTTCTGAAACTTGGATGGATATTTGTTACATTTTTTCTTTTTCCTTTTTTGCATTTCGTCTCTCTCTCACTCCCCCCCTCCCCC